GTTCTGGTGAGCTAAGAAAATGTTTATCTCCCTGAGCTTGGCCTTCATAATTCCATTCCATCACAATTTAAGACCTACTGTCAAGAACATTTCCTTCAGTAAGATGAAGTCTGTTTCTTCAGTTAATACTATAGTCGTACCAACGCTAAATCCTTTCATTTACACCATTAGGAACCATGAAGTGAAAGAAGCAGTGTGGAAAGCATTAAGAAGAAGGACTCCAGCTTTCCATATGATCTAAACAGAGACATCTGTGGGGAAGGAATCCTATGCTTGAAGATGAGGAGTGGGAGGACTATGCATCAGAGATATTGTACCATTATGTCACCTTGCCTAACTCATAAGGATGGAAGAAGCAGGAGGTCAACACCCCTAGCCCAATATCTGAAATTATGATGCTAGCACCCATTGCTTCAATCAAGGTTGAATGCCAGGAAGGGCTTATAATGTCATGAAAGCTTATGCGTAACATTCATGTGTATATACATTTTTACCAATATATTTCCTAACTCTTCCTTGCTTTTATTCCTGATGAATGGCATGGTGAAATGCAAAGAGTAATATAATCTTAATAGCTACATTTTTTTTTTTTTTGGAGTTTTGGCTCAGACTTGCAACATTGTGTAAGTTGACCATTAATTGGAGACTAATTTACAATTTTTCTTGTACATCAAGCTGGTGAAGGAAGTGATCAAGGGCATTTTCCAGTTGAACACCGGGTCACCTGTTGACTTTGGACAAGCCCGGATGTTTTGCTCTTTGTCATACAATGAGCAAATAACACTGTTTGTAAGAAAATAAAATAATCTCTCCTTTGTCCAGTGGATTGAAAATTTTCATTTGCAACCTTTTGCCAAAGTTACAAAAAATTGAGAGAGTTATCAAAAAATTGATATAGGGTGCATTGGACTCCCCAAAAATGCATTCGGAAGGATGGGCATTAGAATATTCATGCTGGAGATGTAAGAAATTGGAGGGCTTCTCTGAATCCTTACGATGATCACATGATCACATTTTTTTGGTGTTTTTGCTCAGACTTGCAACATTATGTAAGTTGATCATTAAATGGAGAATTATTTACAATTTCCCTTGTATATAAAGCGGATGAAGGAAGTGATCGAGGGCATTTCCCATTTGAGCACTTGGACACCTGTTGACTTTGAACAAGGTGGAAGAGTGCAGGAGGAGATATAGAAGTCATTGAAGTACCTGGTTTTCTAGTTATGGTGGTTGGGATTATGACCTCATTGTTTTTCACCCTCATTCCTTACCTCTTTGTGATTTGCGCCATTCTCCGAATGCCTTGAAACACCAGACAGCAGAGGGCTTTTTCTACCTGTGCTTCCTATCTGACTGTAGTCTGCATTTTTTACGAGTCAGTCTTTTTTGTCAACCTAAGACCTACTGTCAAGAACTTTTCCTTCAGTATGATGAAGTCTGTCTCCATATTGTGCCCAATATGGTCTCATCTGTGCTAAATCCTTTCCTTTATACCATTAAGAACAATGCAGTCAAGGGTGCAGTATGGAAACTTTTAGAAAGAAGGACTGCAGGTCTCCCAAAACTCTTAGCTTAGGCCTTTGTTGAGAAGTGGTGGAAAATGACTCTGTTTTTCCCATTGAAAGCATCGAGGCTTGTAGCTTCAGAATCCATCTCCAAAGCTATTGTGCAGGTCTTCTTTAACAAGCCTACCATAAAAAAGATGGATGAAACAGTGGTTAACATGGTAGGTTACAAGTGGAGTTTTCTTTTGTCTTCATGTGCAATTGTCTGATGATCCCATGACAGAAGGATTGCTGGGAAGCCTAGTCCTGTAAGGCATAAAATAGCCATGTACTACATGGTCACTACCCAGCTACTTGGAATGAGAGCTTTTGAATATATTCCATTCTTCACAAAAAGGGATATTTCTTTCTTATTCCTCTATATAGACAATAATATCCCTTTAGTGTCTGGATTACTTTATTTGGAGAAGAGAGGAGTAATGACCATTTTGATGAACAAATGACACACTATTGTCTTCAAATTACATTTCTTTGAAAGAGGCTTACTGGACTCAGAGTAGAAACCTTCATGTGAAAGAGTAGGAAGAAAGTGCCTTGGTGCTGCCAATCATTAACAATACCCTTTAGATATTGATCTAGGCTTAATCATGCAAAGATCATGACCTGGCCTGAAAAGGTGCTTTATGAGCTATTAAGTGGCCTCCATCACTCACAGTAGACAAAGAGCTTT